CTCTGCCTCTCAAGTGCTGGGATTAAAGGTGTGTGCCACCAACACCTGGTCAAAAATAATTTCTTAACCAGCCATGGTATTATATGCCTCTACACTACTATAATCTTTGGGTTACAGAGACAGGAGGATACAGGCTTGAGGCCAGCTTGGACTACTCCATGAGATGCTCTGTTAAAAACATCAACAAAAGCTAGATGTGGTGGCACAGGCCTATAATCCCTGCACATGGGAGACAGGTGAATCTCGTGTTCTACACAAGTGAGTTCCAGGTCATCTAGGGTTCTATAGTGAGACCCGTCTCAAACAACAACAAACATTATTATTACTATCATTATTGAATTTTGCTGTTGGTGCTCAGATATAGCAATAAACAGACAGTATTGATCCTCTCCTTTTAAGAGCATACAGTTTAGTGGCATCATAGGTGAGAGACAGATGGCTTAAGGCAGCATTTTCTGTGGAACATGTGATGACTTCATGGCATGCCATCAAGGGACAGATAACAGAATACTTACTCATTTCTAATGGTTTCTCGTCCTAATGTTACAGAGCCCTCAAGTACATGCCTCATGCAGTTCTCAAGCTCCTGGAGAACATGCCCATGCCTTGGGAGCAGATTCGGGATGTGCCTGTTCTGTACCACATCACTGGAGCCATTTCCTTTGTCAATGAGATTCCCTGGGTCATTGAGCCAGTTTACATCTCCCAGTGGGGGTGAGAAGGGCTGGAATGTGGTGGGTGGTAATGGCTGGTGTGCTTAGGGATGGGGGTAGTGGCAGTGGCAGCTGAGGATCCAGCATGATATGATGGTCTTGCCTTTTGCCTTCTAGGTCAATGTGGATCATGATGCGTCGAGAAAAAAGAGACAGGAGGCATTTCAAGAGGATGCGTTTCCCTCCGTTCGATGATGAGGAACCTCCCCTAGATTATGCTGACAACATCTTAGATGTTGAGCCTCTGGAAGCCATTCAGCTAGAGCTGGACCCTGAGGAGGATGCCCCTGTGTTGGATTGGTTCTATGACCACCAGCCATTGAGAGACAGTAGGAAGTGAGTGGAACTAATTCCCGTGAGAGTTCTGGAAAGTAGCTGTGGGAAGGCAGTAGGTTAAGTGGCTTGCCTCAATGCGTACTTGATATAGGCCTTCCTTCTTTTCCCTAGGTATGTTAATGGTTCCACTTACCAACGCTGGCAGTTCACATTGCCTATGATGTCCACTCTCTATCGATTGGCCAATCAGCTTCTGACTGACTTGGTGGATGACAACTACTTCTATCTGTTTGACCTGAAGGCCTTCTTTACCTCTAAGGCACTCAATATGGCCATTCCTGGAGGACCCAAATTTGAACCTCTTGTTCGAGATATCAACCTACAGTAAGTTGGGGAGAGTATCAATGTTAGGCACTTTAGGTTTTTTTTTAGTTTGTTTGTTTTGGGGGGTTTGTTTGTTTGTTTGTTGGTTTTTCAAGACAGGGTTTCTCTGTGTAGCTTTGG